AAGTATGCCAGGCATGTGTGTGGGCGTGTCCTAAATCACAAGAGGAAAACGGAAGATAAGGGCCTGTTGGTGTGGCCATCCACTTGGGGTGTGATTTCTCATTTTTACTATCTGTCTCTCTCTGACAAGTGCACATGACCTACAACAAAAAATAAAAATAAACTTAAAAGAGGCCAGCAGTTGGCGGTGGTTAGGGCAGCTGGGCTCCCACATGGCTAACAACAGTTCAAGTCCCAGACCTGGCAGCTTGCTTTCTCACTTTCCTTCTCTCTCTCTATTTCTCTCTGGTTAACTTAAAAAAAAATAATAATGACAATGAATAAAATTAAAATTAAATAATTCTTTAAAAATTAAAAAAAATTTAAAAGGGTGCCAGACAATGTACAGCCATAAAACACTACACTCTATGAGGTTGACTCACATGTGAAAGTTCTGGGTTTGCTTCCAGAGACTTCCCTATGTATGCGTTGCAATGCTGGAGGCCACCTAAAAGACCAGGGGTCAGTGTGTGCCCATAATCTGGCGCTGGCTGGGGCAGAGGTAAATTGCATTATGAAGACCTTGTTTGGGATGCTCTCTATCTCCTTGTTTCTGTCTCTTTCTCATTGTATCTCTCAATTATGAAAAAAATAAACTTAAAAAAAAAAATGATGTGAGTGACCTTGTTTGTAGATAGTCTTTAAACAAGTGTGTGTTAAAATAAGGTTGTCAGGATGGGCCCTAATTTCAAATGACAGACATTAGAGAATAAATTTCTGTTGCATAAGCCACCCAGTTAGCTACAGCTGCCCTCATAAACAAATACAAAAGCCTTCCAATCATCATTTTACAGCCATTACAATAATGTTTCAAGCAAGAATCATCAATGAATTCTAAAACCACTGGGTGGGAGTCTGATGAATAACAAGATATTTAAATAATTTCAAAATATCTTCCCACAGGATACACAATAGTTACAAAGGGAAAAAACGCAACTTTTTGATAGACTACTTTGGCAGACACCACCTCAACCAAGTGATAGACATTAACATCACCAACCATGGGACAAACAACGCGTCTCCGGATAGAAGGTACTGATGCTTTTTTTTTCTTTTTAACATTTATTTGTTTGTCTATTTATTCCTTTATGTGTTGTGATTTTCAAGCCACTGGGAGTGGCTTGACATGTATGACTGCAGTCAGCCATGTGGGAATCAAGCACCTTAACCACCACACCCCCTACTGGCCCTGACACTTCTTTTCTGTAAGAGCAGACCCCTCTCTTATCCATGGGGCATACATTCTAAGTTCCCCAGTAGATGCTGAAATCATGGATAGTACTGAAGCCTGTGTATACTGTATTTTTCCTATACATAAATACTATGATAAAGGTTCATTTATAAATTAGGTGTAGTAAGAGATTAACAATAGTAATAATTACGGTACATTGCACTGTAACCCAAGTTATTTGAAAGGTCTCTCAAAATACCTTATTTTACTATACTCATTTATGTTTGGATCTTGGTTGACTACAGGTAACTCACATTTGGGCTCAGGGGGAACTACTGTATTCTTGTTTTTAAAAAAGCATACTCTCCAAAGCATTAATGGCACAAAGAGGTGTGATATTATCTGTTGAAGATATTTCGTAGTTTTATCAACAGTACTAGGGAGAAATATTCACCTGTTTAAATATCCATTTTGTAAGACAAATAATAATGTGATTGATTGTATGGAAGAAAATGAAATGAAAAAAATAATAATAAAAGGAAAAAAATTTTAAAAAAGGAAAAAAATATTTGAAGAATTATTACATAGAGAGTTTTAAAAGGTGGAATAAAATTAAGTCTAAGAAGCAGAAAAAAAAAACATACTCCCAATGTAATCATGAGAAAAATATCAAACACATCAAAATTTAGGGACAGCCTACAAAAAAAAAACCCTTCCCAGTACTCTTCAAGAATGTCAAGGTCATGAAAGACAAAGAGTGTCTTTCCCCATAAAAGGAAAGGAAAGAAACATGACAACTAAATGCAACATGTGATCCTGAACTGGATCCTGTGGAATAGCTATAAAGAACGTTATTGGGGGACCAGCAGTTGGCGTAATGGCTATGTCGCTGGACTCCCATGTAGTCGACCGCGGTTCGCGTCAGGCCCCGGTGGCTTAAAACTCATGCTGGGCGCGTGTGTGTGCGTACCCAAGATCCTGAGAGGAGAATGGAGGAGAAGGGATTGCGGCGTGCCCATACCCCCTGGGGGGTGATTTCTCGCTTTCTGTCTCTCTGTCTGTCTGGCAAGTGCATGCGCCCTATGAAAACCACTCCAAAAAAAAAAAAAAAAAAAAAGAACGTTATTGGGACAACTGGCAAGCTGTAAAAGTGGACAATGCATTAATAAATAAAAGAATTGCACCACTGTTGAAATTCCTAATTTTGATCATCATGCTGAGATTATGCAAGAAAATGTCTTTTTCTTAGGGGATACAGACATATTTAGGGATAAAGGAACAGTATGAGAAAATAAGAGGGACCAGCAGTTAGCGTAATGGCTATGTTGCTGGACTCCCATGTAGTTGACCACCGTTCAAGTCCTGGACCTGGTGGCTTAAATTCACGCCAGGGGCATGTGTGTGCGTGCCCAAGATTCCGTGAGGAGAATGGAGGAGAAGGGATTGCGACGTGGCCATCCCCCCGAGGGGGGATTTCTCGCTTTGTGTTTCTCTGTCTCTGTCTTTCCAGCGAGCGCACGCACCCTATAGCAAAAACCTCTCAAAAAAAAAAAAAAGAAAGCAAAAGAAAATAAGAGAACAAGGATATGTACAAATTATATGTAATACAAATGCATATATATAGGCATGAGAGAATATGATTGCTAATGTAGCAAAATGGAACCATTTGTTATTATGATAGAAAAATATATGATTCTTTACTATTGTCACAATTTGTCTAAATATGAACTTCCATCCCTAAGAATGTTACAGAGGCTTTCAGTGACCACACTATCAATAATGGCATGTCCCCAATTCCCAGGCACTCTTTTTCTCCATCACACTGGCAAAAATTATCCTGTGCATTTATTTAATAACACTTGGCATTTATTGTGTGCAAGACCCTGTCCTGTTTTAAGTGCTTTAACTGTATAACCTTTGTGAGTCCTCCAACTGTTGTCCCCAACTTACAGATGAGAAACAAAGACCTAACTAAGGCTGATGTGGTTTGTCTCCTCCAGGAGCACAGAACCTAAACTTGTCTTGTTCACTACTCTTCCCCCCTGGCGACTTAAAATGGTGCCTACTGTATTAAAGGTGTTTGAGGAGTATCTGTAGATCCAGTTACCAAATACTGGGGAGCTCCTAGGCATTGGGGTACAAGGCAATGAACAAAATATTTAAAAATCCATGCCTAAGTGGAGCTTTAGTTTGAGCATTAACTAAGCCAGGAACCCAACTAGCCAATATGTGTACACACAGTGTGCGGTAGGTGACTTTTATAAATAATTTGGTGACATCACTCCTAGGAATTAAGACTTATTCTACATATTTTGCAGGGAAAATGGAACATTAGTCTGGAGCAATGATTTCCTCAAGATCACTGGGCTAGTACCAGAGAGGGTCGAAATTCGAATCCACTCTATCCGGTTCCCAGGCCCGAGCTATGAATCAATCAAACCGACTAATCCAATCATCAAATCAGTATTTATAGGCTCCTACTGCGTGCTGTGGTCTAAACGCAGATCAGACAAGAGGTTGAGGTGCGCAGGCAGCAGCAGAGACCCGGGAAGCCGCAGCGGATCGCGGGAATTTGGCGCCTATTTTTTGTAGGCTGGGTGTTCTCGCCGGTGATTGGGCCCCGGCGCGGCGTGCCGGGTGCGCCGGCTGCGGCTGCTCTGTCGACCTTGGCAGGACCCCGGCGGCGCAGTGCTCGGCTGGCCTCCCGGGGGATGGGCCACCAGGAGTCTCCGCTGGCCCGAGCGCCGGCGGGAGGTGCAGCTTATATAAAGAGGTTATGTAAAGGGCTCAGCTGGCGCGAACACGTGGAGAGCCACGGGAGCCTGGAAGCCTGGGCCTCCCCCGCGAGCGCCGCTGCCATCACCGGCACAGCAGCAGGATCCAGCACACGCCCGACACGGGCCGCCTCCTCCCGCGCCACCCGGTCCCGGAGGCAGCCCGGGTCCGGAACAGACCATCCCCAGGCCGGGACTTTAGGGGGAAAACGGACCGCCCGGAAGTGGAGGGGCGCCAGCCAGGTAAGGGCGCAGTCCGCGGAGGGAAGGCAGACGCGGACGACGGAGCTACCCGCCCTCCCTCGGCGCTTGGGCTGGGCAGTGGGGTCCTCGGCTTACAGCGCTCAGAGAAGCCAAACTTTTAAACCTGGCCCCCCACCCGCGGCCTTTGGGGACTTGGGTCGGTCCGCTGGGCTCTGGAGCGCTTAATTCAATGGACTGTTTACACCCGGGAGAACTCAAGGCGAGACGCAAAGAGGTGGGTCTCAGAAGGGGCCAATCAAGGAAAAAGATTTCAACAGTTTGAATTTCCTCGTAAGGCAGTTTTCTTACTCGGGTAGCCTGTTTGTTCTTGTTTTCTCTGTTCGTACACGTACATAAACTGGGAAAGCGGAGAGATTTTTGCTTTTCTTTCTGGTTCCCCCTCTGAGCCAGTACAATGTGGTTCCGTCTTTCCCGCTTTCCCCTCCCTTCCCCCTTCAATCTGCGACGGCGGCTTCCGTCTTAAAGGGGCCGTGTCGGGCGGAGGAGGAGGTGGTGGGACGCGCCGCGGCCTGAGCTCCTTGCCTCCCCTCTTCCACTTGGTAGTTTAACCAATTCTT